ATTTTCGGACAGGGGGATGGGCTGTTCTGTTTCTCTCCTCTGTTCCCCCAGAGGGGGAATCCATGGGTCCTGTGGGATAACGCTTTGGGGCATCACACAACCCACAGCAGGCCTTCAAGTTCAGAAGAGTCCTCTTGCATCATCAGGCTAATTAGAGTCCCCCTGCCCCAGCATCCTGTTCCCAGCAGGGGACAGACAGGCAGACCAGGGCAGAGGCAGGGAGGCACCAGCGCTGGCTCTCCTGATCTCTTATCATCTCCCAGAATCTGGGCCTAGAGACACGAGGAGTCAGTGTAGCCACTCTGGTTGCAATGCTACCCATTTCTTCAATGGTTCACCTTTTCATTTTGAAATAATAAATATATCCAGAGCTTATAGGCAGAGAAAACAGCACTAGAAACAAATCAACAAACTGTAAGATTTATTCATTGCTTTTGGAAATACGGGAGCATGTATGAAAAACAGCAATTGGGCTGCACAGAAGCCATTGGGAAAGTTTTGCGGATGAAGAAGGGATCTTTTCCTCTACACAGACAGATACAACCCTGCTTTATGTGGACGAGAAAGGTGTTTGGGGTCTCTTAGCAGCTAAACTTCCCCCAAAAGCTGGATGAATCCTCTTTGGGATTAACGAAACACCTGAGGGGTGTATTCCTGCAGTGCAATGCACGGAACTGAGGAAGGCTCTCTCCAAAAACTGGAGAGGGAGGTGAATGGTTTTTGTTAAGTGGGGTGGAGATATGAATTAGTATGCCTGACGCTCTGTTGGCAGGGGGTCTCCTTGAGCCATGAAGATGCAAGGCGAGGCAAAGCAGGAAACCCCCACAAAAAACTATCCTGACTCAACCATGGAGTTTGGGGGAGGATCTGCAGCCAAACCACAAGCCCCTCTGTCAAAGATGATTTAGCTGAGATTCCTGCACTGCAGGGGGCTGGACTAGATGACCCTTAGGATCCCTTCCAACTCTACAATTCTATGATTCTTTGAAATGCACGAATTCTTTGCCAGAAGCAAAAGCACCAGGGAGTTTCAGAACCTGCATGGAGGGAGCAGTAAATGTTGAACCATGGCAAGACATTTAATGTGAGTAAACCATATACTTTTCTTATTTACTTAAACAGTCTGAGAGAAATTTCTTTGTTAAGAGGGAAACAGAAAAGGGAGAAAAGTAATGTAAGTCTGCCTAAGCATCTTTGGCTATCATAATTGTTCTTGAAAGCTAAACATATTATCCGAAAAGCTTCTAAGGATAAGCTGCACACGGAGGAAGCAACTCCTTCCAGCTGATTTGTAGCAGAAGAGACTCTTGGCAAAGGAGCTGAGCTGAGAGGGTTCAAGGAAGAGGCTGTCAGGAAAGGAATCCTCCATTATCTGAAAAGGAAGGAGAAGGGAGCTGGTGAGCTGGGAGTATGGAGGCTGAGCACCTTCTGGGCAGGATGAGGCCCACCCCACCCCTTTGCTGTGTATTTTGGCTTCCCTTGCATTTGTCTCTGAGCCCCTGAAGGGAAACGGGTTCGACTCACATGAAGCCCCTGCGATTGTTCATCCTCATGGCCTTGAAGAAAAGGATGGTGGCAGCGATGATGCCCAGGATGCCAAAGGCCAAGCCCAGGGCACACAGCACGTTCTCCATCGTCTCTGGGATGGGAGAGGGCGCCTTGGAAACTGGGATGGAGAGAGAGAGGACAGGGCTAAGGGGGGACTCTGTTTCTCTGTGTGTGTTCAGCGGAAGAAAGAACCCAGGAGTCCTGACACACCACCCCCTCCCCATATACATGATAGGAACTAACTCAAGGAACCCCCAAAAGGCAGTTGAGCAACTTATTGTCTCCTATGGGTAGAAGCAGGAGAATAAATTATGCAAAATTGCAAGTGTACTTCACTTGCATAAATTACTCTGATCATCAGAACGTGTTTCTCATACGCCATGAATCTGGGTTTCTGAGTTCAAGTCCCAGAGAAAAGCCCCAATCCTGCCCGGTGCTTACCCCAGATCTTCTCCATCTTTCCCTCTGGGATGCCCCAGTGCTCCACCTGGCAGACGTAGATGTCTCCCTGCTCAGCGACGAAGGGGAGGTAGGAGAACTTGCGGAAAGTGTTGTCCACGCTGGGGTAGAAGTCTGTCTCCTCCACGCCCTTGGAGACCACCTCGTTGTTCTTCAGCCAGGTGACATTCAGCACTGGGGGGGAGAACCTGTCCACAAAGCAGATGAGGACGTTGGGGTCCCCCAGTTCCACGGCGTTTTCTGGGTACACAGTGGCCGAAGGAGCAACTGAGGAAGGAGATGGAGAAAGAAATGGGATTAAAACCCACTTGAAGCAGTCTAGAAATGGAAAGCATAGCAATTAGCTGCTGTGGGTATTTTTGCACCGGGTGTTCAGGTTTGGGAATGCCTCTGAGCTTGTACAGAGTGCAGTGCTGCCCCTCCCGTCAGGCTTCCCTTCCCTTTTAGCCCATCTCTGTCAGCCAAGGACTGGCTCCCTGGAGCAGAGTTCCCTCTGGGGAGGCAGAAAGGGGTCCTGAAGGGTCTTCCGGGTCAGAAGCCAAGAGACCACCCCCTGCCTGCCCCCCAGCACTCTCCCCTGCCCCCCTCGCGTGTCCTACCGTTCAGGGCACGGGTGCGGTTGCTTCGCTTCATGAGCACCTCCATGTTGTTCTTCATGACGGCGATGTTGGCCAGGGCGCCCTGCACCTCAAAGCTGGTGAAGCGCTGGAAGTCCGGCAGCCTCCAGACGTTCTGCTTCTTCTCCCAGTCCACGTGCAGGATCTCCTCGTTGTCAAACTCCAGCAGGAACTCCCGGACTTCTTCTCCGAAGGGAAGCTCTCCTGGAAGAAGTCCAGCTCCACCAGGGTGTCCTCCACTGCAGGGGTGGGAGAGAGAGAGGGAGGCTTTAGGACCCCGCAGCAGGATGAGGGAGAACCTGCCCCATTGCTAGGAATGGGGCCACCACCAGGAAGGCTCTCTAAGTAGACGGGGGGGGCTTCATCTGCTCCCAACACACACAAATATGTAAGTTTTAAAATCCCCTCATTTCCAAAAGGTGGTCCTGGGTGCACTTGAATGTGGGTGAGTGGTAGAAAGTTGGAATAATCATGCAAGAGAACAATCCATGTCTCCATGTGCCTAGATCTCCACTCTCCTCCTTGCCCCAAAGTGAAACCAGTAACAAATGCATTTCCTCTTTCAACCGTGGATCATCCACAGTCACCCCTTGTTGCCTCATGCCCCGAATTAAAGCTTTGGGCTTATTTCTAAAAGAGATAAATCTGTTGGACACGCAGACGGAGCCATTGGCCACCTGCCTCTTTCCTTTCCTGAAGCGACTTCCTTCTGGAGTTCACTCACTCACTCAAACTAAACCGCGTCTTCTCGGGAGTGAAGTCCCTTTGCGTCCGGCTGGGGTCCCTGCCAGGCAAGTGGCGATATGGCCCCTTTTGTGCCAGGAGAGAGACCACTCTGTCTTCGGGGGCAATGGGGTGGGGGGCTGATGCCTTTTGGGGGCCAACACTGGGGACTTCCGGACCAGGCAGGTCTCTGTGGCAGCCGAGCCCACAGAGAGGAAGAATAATTCTGGTTTTATTTCCCTTTCTCTCCTTGTAACAGGAAAGGCTAGGAAGGGGCACAGACTCCGATCTTCTAAGTTGGTGTGTGTAGGGGGAAATGCTGTTTTCACCCCATTTTCCACTCTCAATTTTATTTAGACCACCTTATTTGAGGGAGCAAATCCTCCTAGCCCGTCATCCTCCCATTCCACGCACCTTCCAGCACTCTTTCGTGGGCGGGGGGGGGGGCGTCCAATTCCCTTCCTCCCCCCACCCCTCCGTATTCCCGGGTGCAGCTTCTGCCCCTGTCGGGGGGAGGGGGCTTCTCCTCCCTTAGCCCAAGAGACCCCTCCTCCTTTGCCCACCAGCAACGCCCAGGGGCGCAATCTTTCTCCCCCATTCCCCCCCAGCCCCCCTCCCGGGACCCCTCCCCAGACATCTCCCCCTCCCTCTGCGCCCCCTGACCTTTCAGGGCTCCGGCCCCCCTTGGCGGGGCGAGGAGGAGGGTCGCCCAGAGGCAGCAAAGGGCTCTTCCTCCTCCTCCTCCTCCTCTTCCTCCTCTGGGCTCCATCTCTGCAGCTCTTCCTGGGCCGAGGCGGGCGAGGGGCGATTCAAGCCCAAGTGTCCCTTGCCCCTTCCTCCTGGATGCTCGCCCTCCAAGTGGCTGTGGGGCGGGGGCGGCCAGGGGGCGGCTTTGGCGGAGCAGAAAAGTCCCTGCCAGCTCGGCCAATGAGAGAGCGCCCTGGCGATGACCAGCCTGTCTCCAGGTAAACCTTCCCCAGGCAGGAGCCTCAGCCGGAGACGGAGCGAAAACAGCAGCAGGAAAAGGGCAGCTGATATTTTGGGGGTGGGGGGGCTGGATGTCCCCAAGAGGGGAGGGGTCTCCTCCAGGGAAGGGGCTGCGGGGGCTCCTCTCTGTCTCCCCCCTGGGTGTTTCTTCATGGGGCTCCTCAGACACCAGCGCCAGGGATGTTTCTTGCACAGGGGAGCTGGGGGCTGGAGGGGGCTTTTATTGGGGGGAGGGGTGTCCTTACTGGGGGGCTGCCAGGTCTCCCCGGGATGCAGGCTGGGGGGCGAAGAGGGGGAGCCCCTCCCTCAGCAGACAGTTCTTCCCCCCTTGAAACTTCCTTCCTCTTTCCGGATACCCGAAGGAACGAAGGTTTAGCGGCTTAAAACGCAACAGAAGAAAAGCGCATCTCGCTGTTTTGAAGCCTGAGGCTGAAAATTCCCTTTTTGCTGCCAGAGGAAAGTTTTGGATGGAACTGACAGATTCTTGTTAAGCTTTATATTCCCCTCAAGGTTTTCTGGGGGCTCCAGGAAGATCTTGATTCACCCGACGCACAACAATGGAGACATCAGAAGCAGCTGAGAAGGCAAAGAGAAACTTGCAGGTCGAGCGAGAGCAGAGAGAGCCCTTGCTAATGCTCTTGCCAGGAGTTCCCTGCCTGGCGACCGATGACGCTGCCTCAACGCGGAGGCGGATTGGACGCTCGCGGGGCGGAGAGGCGGAGTGGGCGGGGCCTGCAGGAGTTTCCCCCGGGGCTGAGCGGAGAAAGTCCCATTTGGGAGTCTTCGGGGGGCGAAGAAGAGAGAAGGATGGGGGGCTCCGGCGCTGCGCCTTTGGCCTTTGGGGGGCTCCTGCTGGGGATGGGGGCGCTGGTGGTCTCTTCTTCGGAGGGGCTGGGCGTGGAGGCGCCTCCAGGTGAGCCAAGATTCTGCAATGGGGGGGGGGGAGAAGGAAGAGGAAACTCCGCTTAGCGGGACCCCCATCGGTGGGGCTCCTTTGAGGATCCCTCCTAGATGGTCTTCCATGATCTTAGCAGGGAGTCCGTAAGTGACTGTGGAGGCCAATTCTGGATCCCCACGTCCTTCCACAGGGGGGACATGTGGTTGGGGGGGGGAATTGATCCCTTGAGGGTTTGCCAAGCGTGCCTTCCTCTTAGCACGGTTCTCCCTTGCGTCCTGAGTTCGAGTGCCTTCAAAGCCCATGACGCCTTTGGTCAAGGCTGTTCTCCAACTGGAGCACCAGCAGACAGTGTTTCCCAATTGTCGGTGTTTATAGTACATTTTGTTAGATGTGCCTTGAGAGAATCTTTTAACCTCTTTTGTTGACTTCCAGCATTCCATACTTTCCATTTTTAAGTTAGGACTAGAGTAGTTGCTTTGAAAGAAGAAGAACAACATGGTTCAGTTCAGGGAAGCTGATGTTGAAGAATCCTTGCTTCCCCACGGGGGATCTTTGCTTCTCCCAGGACACGGGGGGCAAAGGGGCAGGAGGGAAGGGGAAACACTCCCCCCCCCACTGAAAAGGAGCAGCTCAGGCTTCTTGGATTGGGAAGGAGAGAGCATTTAATTATATCCCACCTTTCAGGATTCAAATACTACCCCAGCAGCATTCAACTGAATTTTAATAGAACTACAATACTGACACATTCCTGCAGGACAGCTGATGGCAGGCAGCCCTAGGGGACTTTTTTGCGGGGGGTGGGGGTGGGCAGCTGAATGTGGCCCTGAGCGCTTCTTCACCTGCCTCTGAAAATCATCCTCATCATTATTAGTCCATTTATCTCCCATCATTTTCAAGAGATCTCATAAGCAATTCTTAACTCTAGAAATGACTCCACATAACGCATAAATATACCTTTCTTCCGCTCCTAAGACAGGCATGGGCGTAGCCAGGATTTTTGTTGGGGGGGGGCAGGACTTTTGTTAGGAGGTGGAACCTCAGTTTGCTATGTATTTTTATTGGTGTTTATTGATTTTTTTTGGGGGGGGGACTGCGCCTCCCTGCCTACGCCCATGACGCCGGCAGCAAAACCGGGGCAAGGGAAACCTAAACTACCCCCCCCTCGCGGCAGAACCCCTCTCCCCGTCCCCTCTCCCAGCCCCCCCCCCGCCTTGGGGTCCCCTGGGTGCTGAAATGGGCTCCTGTGTAGACAGGCGTCGCTTCCTGGGCTCTGGCAGGGAAAGCGAAAGTGAAACCGGGTGTCCCGCAGCGGGAGGGGGGTCTCGTGGGAGAGAGGGGGCGGCATCTCCCCCTTTTCCTGGTCTCTCTCCCACCCCCAACATTTTCTCTTCCAGCCGGAGGGCAATAAAAGGGGGAGGGGGAGATAAGCATGGGCGTAGCCATCAGGGGCAGGGAGCAGCCCCCCCTCAAATAAATAAATTAAACAAAGCAGATAGGTCGGTTCTCTCTCCCCCCCCCATAAGTCCTGGCTACGCCCATGGGGTCCAGGGTCTTGGAGGTTGTGGCTCCCTCCCCGCAACGGCCTTTGGCTGCCGCTCTCTTCCTAACCCCCCCCATGAGATCACGTGACACGAGACAGACCATCTTTCTCCTGCCCGGCAGCTGCAACTATCCGCTATCGTGGGAGCTGCGCCCTTAAGGGAACCGGAAGTCTCTGTCCGCCCCCAATTTCATTCTCCCCCCCCCTCCACCCCCGCAGAGCATTTCCTGTACCAGAAGAAGGGCGAGTGCCACTTCTTCAACGGGACGCAGGGAATCCACTACCTACAAAGGCACTTCTTCGACCGGCAGGAGCTCGACTACTTCGACAGCGACCGAGGGAAGGTGGTGGCTGTGGCTGAACTGGGGGAGCCCGACGCCAAGGCATGGAACCAGGACAAGGACGTCCTGCGGGGTGTGATGGCCAACGTGGATTCCTTCTGCCGGCACAACTACGGGATCTTAGAGCCCTTCTCCCAGGCCCGGCGCGGTGAGTCCAGAATGGGGGGGGGCGGCGTCATGGAAAACAGCCGCCCCGGAAGAACCCAAAGGGGGGGGGCGTGGGGTGGACACGTGACTTTCTCCCCCCCCCCCGGGCCCCCCCCGCCCTCCCGCTTTTCAGAGAGATTAAGGGCCTTTCCTGGCGCCCCACTCCAGAGGCAGAGTTTCTGTGTCCCTGGAAGCATCACAAACCGTTTGGTATATTGCAATGTGGCTCTTAGTTTAGTTACTTGTTATTAATTAGATTCGCATCCCGCCCTATACTTGTAGGCCTCAAGGTGGCTTGCAACACAATATTTCAGTATTCATAATAATAATAATAATAAAATAATAACAACAAACAACAATAACAACAATAATAATAGAAGTAATGATATTATTATTATTATTATTAATACCCCATCCATTTAGCTGGGTTTCCCCAGCCACTCTGGGCGGCTCCCAACAGAATTAAAAGCACAATAGAACATTAAAAACTTCATTTACTACATGTGATGTCTATGGTTCTCCCTCTCCTCATTCCACCCCCACAACGACCCTGTGAGGGAGGCCAGGCTGAGGGGGGGGGGGCTGGCCAGGGACACCCAGGAGACTCAAGGCCCAGGGGGGATTTGAACCCGGGACAGAGTCCAACACTGGACTACATTAGAGTGGGGGGCTGCAAAGGGGACATAGCAGCCTTTCAGGGGAGCAGAGAAAGCACATTTCAAGCAGAAACCCTGAACATTTTTAAAGTACAATATGATGTTATTTGGCCGTTAGTTATTAATTATGACACCTTAGCATGTCGTTTCCTGCACACCTGACATGGATTCAGGTTGGGCTGTCATACGTCCAGGTTTTCCAGGGAATCGGAATGTTTAAATTGAGGGGTGTCAGAAATTTAACCCCACAATCTCAAAATCACATACTAAGGATTAAATAATAATTATTAGAAACATGGTCCATTTCCTTCAAACCCACTCATTACTATTTTCAGCTACCAAGCTCCCCTCCAGCCCCCCTGCCCCCGTTCTCGAGGGATCATCCCTAAATCAAAAGGATACTGTGCAGTGATTTCTGAAGATCATCCTGTGTGCTAGGAAAAAAGGAAGGACAAACTCCTGAGATTCCCAGGACTGGGAAATGAGACAGAAGGATGGAAAGTGTCCTAGGAAGGGGAGGGGCATCCCAGGACCCCCAGGGAGGAGCAGTTCCCTGTTTGTGGAATGCCCAGTCTGACCCCTGGGGAAACTGGGCTGACTTTGGGTAGATGGGGGGACAGAGATCCCACTGGTGGGAGTGGGAAGTTGGGGGCTGGGAGCGTAGGATCAACTGACTGTCCCAGGGCCAAATCTAGGCTTTCTGTCACCCGGGCAAAGACCCTGTTTTGTCACACACACCCCACATGCATCTGCATATACACACCCACACACCCACCTGGACACATTTGTTCATAAAGGAAATAAAAAGAGCTTTCAAAGAGGCTGGAAAAGAGAGAGTCTCTCCAAATAGTAACATTGTCTGTGTGCTATCTGGCTTTCATTCAACCTTAAGAAGATCTCCTCAGAGAGCAGTAGATCATTTGAGGAATTCTAAGAAATATCATGACTGTATATAAATAATAATAATAATAATAATAATAATAATGGAAACAGTGATAATGATCAGGCACATACCAGAGTAAGTCCTATTGAACTCAGTGGGACTTCTGAGTAGTAAAGGCAGTTTAAGGCTCTAAAGAAGAAAATAAAAGAATAAATACTCCACAAGTTTCCTTCAAAAATTGTGGCTGCTGAACCATTGCAATTAAGGAATTTAAAGTGGATTGGCTACATTTTCCTCCCAAATTACAGGGAGGGATAAATACAAAGAGCTTCGTATGTCAGCATCACATCTCATTCATTGCAGGTATTTTATGTTCAGCATAAAGAGGACTCAGTTTTTGTAGCTGATTGTAGGCAGCAGTGCCCTCTTTATGTGTTCACGTGGTGTAAACATGTATGTTGTCTTCTAGAGATCCAAATACACACACACACACACACACACACACACACACACACACTGAATGAACACACAAGCAAGCAATACTCCAAAGGGCTTCTGTTCCCAAAAGGGCAGGAGAGGATGTTCTGATCTCTTCACCACTTCTAATTCATCTCTGAGGCTTTAAGGGAAGCAAAAGAAGAAAGAAAGAAAAAGAAGACCTTCCCATTTCAACTTTGCGTGGAGAGAAACCTTCTCCAGGATTTCTCTTTGTACTCAGTTCCAAAAACAGAGGGGGAAAGGGGAAGGAGGGTCGTTTTCCAGGTTTTCCAGCTTCCCCTTGCAGATTAGCATCACTCTGGTGCTCAGCAGATGCTTTTAGACTCTGGAGGCACCAGGGGGGGCTGCGGACAGAGAAAGGGCCCCCCCTGCAAGCTGGGAGACTCAGTTGCGCCCCTCTAGAGGCTTCCCCCTGGCTGGCCCCCCTCCCCCGTTAACTATGGCCTCTTCCCCCTCCCTTGAAGCCTCCAGGTCCCTCCCTGCCTAAATCTCCGACCTTCCTTCCACATCTCCCTTGCCTCCTCCCACAGTCCAGCCCAAGGTGAAGATCACCCCACAGACAACGTTGAATCTTCACCACACAACACTCTGCTGATTTGCACCGTGAACCGCTTCTTCCCTGCGGGGATCGAGATCAAGTGGTTCAGGAACGGGAAGGAGGAGCCCAAAGTGTGGACCACGGACCTCATCCGGAACGGGGACTGGACCTTCCATATTGAGGTGATGCTGGAGACAAAGCCAGAACGTGGAGACGTCTACACCTGCCAGGTGGAGCACGCCAGCTTCGAAGGCCCCGTCACGGTGAAATGGGGTAGGACACTTTCCCAGCCCCGAGCCATATCCTGCCCAAGGAAGTGGGGGGCATTCCTGGGGGGCTAGGTGGGTTGCTCCCCCCTCAGGGGGCTGATCCCAGGCCTGCCTTTCCTCACCCACGGCTTTTTCTCTCTTCAGAGCCACAGTCGGACTCTGCCAGGAGCAAGATGTGGACGGGGATTGTGGGGATTGTGCTGGGGCTGATCTTTGGGGCCACTGGACTCGCCCTTTACCTGAAGAACAAGAAAGGTGAGGGTGGGGTGTCAGGGGGAGAGGGAGGGTTGGGTGTGGGGCTGGATCGGGCTCCAGGCTCCCCTCCTCTTCTTCGGCAGAGGCTCTGGAGAGTGTTTCCTGCCTTCTCCACTCCTAGGATGTCCCTCTTGGTGTCTCAAATGGAGCCTCAGCTGTTATGGAGATGGTCTTGAAGAAATGAGTTTCCCAAACCCAAAACTCACTGTGTAGGCAGTTTGAAATAGGCACCAAAATCCTATTTTTCCTTAGCTAAAATCCATTAACTTGAGCTCTGAGTCAATGTATAAACAAAAACCCGGCTGAATAGACAAGTGCTCAGAGCCCTCTCCTTTATCAGCTTGTGACGGCAAGGATGGCCTTGACTATACCAGTAGAACAGGGAAGACACGTCTGTGCCTTATCTTACGTCCTGACCACAAAGACACACAGACCAATCCAGGACCAGCGCTAGAGTGTGTTCTTGGAGATGGTGACCTCTTGCTCCAAGATAAGAGTAGGAACAGGAATATCCTTTTATGGTCAGAAATACAGGAAGGAAAACCCTTTTATGGTTAAGAATACCGGAGCAGGCACATATGTGATGTCAACCTGCGTATATAGGCTGACGTGGTTGGATTCCTAGAGAAGGAGGGAGAGGGTGCCTGGAGGATATATATACTGCATGAAATTTCTCATTTCTTTGGACTTGCTCTGGACTAACCACGCAAGTGCCTTTCTGCTGCTCCGGAGAGCAGGAATAAAAACTCTTTCTCTGAACCAACCCTCGGTGTCATTTGACTTCCTTCCTCCCGTCCGGGAGCAACGCTGAGCCCACCAATCAGTAAAGTCTAATAAGGCTACAGTCTGAGGTTTAAATCTGTAGATTAAGACCTAAACCTCTTGTTCAACATATGAGGGAGAAATTCAAAAGCATCTCTGGCTCTGAAGCCTTTGAGGAGAGTAAGGACACACGTGTTTTGCAGCTTCCTGGTCCCAGCAGTAAGTCAAAGGCTCTCTCTCCCTGCTGAGCAAAGGGCCTTTGAGACACTGACAGTCAGAAGGCAGAATTCATCTCCCTTGGGTCTCTTCCTTGTTTGTGTGTCTGAAATAAATCCCCGAATCAACAACTGGGCAATGCAGAGCCCCAAAGGAGGCAGCCTAAGGAATATGGGAGGGATTGTGGGGTGGGGGCATTGGGTAATGGGAAAGAGATTAGTTGGCAAGATGTTCCCCAGGGTCCTTTCAGAATTGGGAGGGAAATATTTATTTCTTACAAAGACTCTTCTTTCACCCCTCATACTCCTTAGGACAGAATGAGGAGGGGAAAGTTCCTAGCTGTGCCTGGAGTGTGTCATCTTGATTGGGGGGGCATGTTCTCAGAGAAGCTATTTCAGGGGACATCTGGTGCTGACTGAATCTTTCTATTCTTTTCTCTCTCTCCCAGGGCAAGCTGTTCCTCAGCCTGCAGGTAACTTTCCTCTCTGCTCTTCCATCCTCCTCCTCCCCCAACCCCCTTCTCCTGGCTGCTTGCTGTGCCCCCGCCATGGCTTCCTTGTAGAACAGAGGGGAGGGGCTTCCTATGGATAAATCCATCCCCTGATGCACACACTCCAATATCATGTCCTGGAAGTGGGTCTCCAGGGGAATGTCCCACCTGGGAGACAGTCAAGCAAAGTTCCTTAGCAGAGGCTGAGTGAAGAGACCAGGGCTGGCATTTGGCCTAGGGGCCACATTTGGTCCAGGGTCCGTGGTTCCCCATTTCTGATCTAGACAGATCTCCTTGGTCTCTTCTGAAGCTCCTCTTCTCCACTGCCAAAGCCAGCCAAGTCTCCCTCCCTCTGCCTCCTTCCCTCCTCAGAGCCCCCTGCCAGGCCCATAACTGGTGGCGATGGGAATTGTAGTTCACAATCCTGATGGCCGCTCTATGGAGTGTCCCCCAAATCTTGCCAGGGATTCTTGACCCCTTTCTCCCCATTCCTCACCCCACAGTGATGGGCTTGTCTCTCTCTTCTCTGCCTGCAGGACTCATCAGTTAGACTTCGCTGCTCCATCAGGATCCTGGGATGTGGAGAAGCTCTGTTCTTCCTGCCAGTTGCCCTCTGTCCGTGCTCAGAGGTGGAAACCTCCTTGGAAGGTGGATGGAAGGAGTCACAGATCAAGAACGACAGTGTCCACCCCTCCCCCACCTCTGTTGCTTGCTTGTCATTTGGGGAAAGTTTCTTCTTGTGTTTCCCTTTCTGCTTGTTGATTGCAAGTTATGGCAACCTGATTACTTCTTTGCACCTCTCTGCTAGAGAATTTGTGCCTTGAATCTCCCTGGAGGAGCCTGAGCTGTCCCTGAAAACAACCATGAATCTGGTCAGACTGCCAGGACTGGTCCTTCAAGCCCTGATGGGGAACCTGAGCTTTGAGATTCCTCATTGCAGGAGGTTGGGCTAGATGACCTTGGGGTCCCCTCCAATTCTACGATTCCATAAAATGTTGAATGGCCAAATATATTTATTGAAAGCTTCTTCCCACAGCCCTGTGACACGGAGGATGAGTCCAGTTTCTGGAGAGAGTCCCTGCTCCCCACCCTCCCCCTGCTGACTTTTATCTCCTCAGGGAGAGTAGTTTGTTAATTTCTCTGTAAATATCCTGCTCTTTTGTGATCTTAAGGATCAGCCCTCTGACTGGGATCCTCACCTGACCCACTTCAAGGCAGAAGCAGATTTCACAGTCTTGTCGCACCAGTGAAGATTTTCTTCAGTTTCCCTCTGTGGTCCTTGAACTATTTCATTCATTTAAATTTCAGCATTCAAGTATCGCCACACTTGACAATCCTGGGTGTAAGAAAAAGGGTTGATATGCCCATTTCCACACAACTTCACCTGAAAGAAGGTGACCTTCTGTCATACCTCTAGCACTTCCCCACCTTTGGGTTATTGACTTGTTTAAGGCCTTTAAATGTAACCATTTAACACCCCAAAGTGGTTTACCACACAAACATCCCAATAAAAGCAAGAAAAGTCTGTTTAAATACAGCCTGTGTGGAAACCATCAAGGGGAACTGATTTGGGAGCCATTTTTCCCTGGGAAAACCCTCCACACACCGCATGGTCTCCTGAGGTGATTCCATTATGAATTTGATTTCAGACTAGCTATTCAGGAGAGGGAAATGCCTTCTCCAGTGTTTCCACAAACGTCAGGGGGAGGGGAAAAAATCTTTTTAATCTTCCTGTGACTAAAACTCCTGAGGGAATTTTCTGTTCCTCCATTTATCTGACATTCGGCCCCTTGGAGGAGGGTACATGGAGTCCGCTGCCCCCCTGGGCATCCCTTCCTTGACCCTTCAGGCCCTGAGGAGGGAAGGATGCCAGTCTCCACAGGGAAGCCATTTTCTCCTCATGTTTGGGCTCCCTCAGGAGAAAAGAGCGGGAAACAACTCAGGCGGAGGGAGACTCCCCTGTCTCTGACCAGGTTCCTTGCAAATGTCCCAGCCTGTTCTGAGGAGAAAAAAATGTCCGCCCTTTTCTCCACAGAAACTCTCCAGTTTTCCCCCCCCCCCCCCGACTCCTCAGCCCCATTTGTTGTTTCTGGGGGAAACTGACAGGAAATCTCAAGATTTACCAAGGTCTGGTGAATTTCTAGTATCCCCTCAGGACTTGGAAGGAAACGCGATGGATGTCCAGATGAAACCCCCACCTGCCACACCTCACGACCCCCCTGAAGTAATGGCACCTCCACAAACCCCCCAGCCCCACTCCTTGGCCCCAAACCCTGGCATTTGGGGGCTGGGAAGCAAGGAGGAAGGAGACCCTGTGACCCCCATGGTGGGTCCTGACTTTATCCACCACAGTCCTCCTGAGGGATTGACACAACCTCCATTACCCCCTTTGCACCCTTGATGAGACTGGGAGGCAGCGTCAGCCAGCAGAGCAGCAGACCAGACACCATTTTCAAACCCCTTTTTGCTAGTGGGGAGGGCGGGTCATAACCGACTTGTCTGAGCAAGAATGTTTTCCTCAGGTGCCAAAAAGAGAACAATGAAGAAGGCGCCTCTTGGTTTCATTAGGCAGGGAGTTCCAAAGTGTGCTGAAGGAGAGAAAGGAGAGGAAAACACTCCCATTGGGCCATATTTACATGTATTCATTTATTTTTAAAATTTCTATACTTCAACTGTAGATTTCAGGGCGGTTCACAATGTGATGGCAGAGGAGGAAGCAGGACCATCAAGCTCACCCTAAGACAGGGAGGAAACGCTACAAAATCTGCAGACGAGAAGGGATTTCCTCAGAGGGAAAAAGACCCAGGCATCACCAAGCGCAGGCAGGGTTGGTCTGCGGAAGAGAGGGATTGTAGGGGGTTGGACTAGATGACCCCTGAGGTCCCTTCCAACTCTACAACTCCATGAGTCTTTGAGGGGTGCCTGTCCCCTCCTCCACCTGGAGAGGAGGAAAAGGGCTTCAGGGGATCCTGCGTGCTCCTCCCAGGAGCAGGCTCATCCCAGGGACCAGGAATGTCCTCCAGCAGCACCTGGCAAACCACCTTCCTCTTCTGCCCCCAACATCCGCCCCACTGAGTCGGTCCTGAGGATGCCGTGGTCAACGTTCTCAAGAGCCCCTCACTGAGAAGGTGAACAGCAAGGGGGCCACCCTCCCTTGCAGTGGGCCAGGGGAGAAAAAGGCCCAAGACCGCATTGCAAATATTGGGCTGCCCCCAACTCCTCCTGCTGAGTGGGCCTTGGTCTTCTGCCCCAAAGACTTCACCTCCCACCCAGCCCATTACAACTTTATTCTTCTGTCTTGCTGCCTTCATCAACTCCTCTCAATTTAGAGCCCCCCCCCCCCCAGTTTGAGAAACAGAAAAAATGTTTGTTCCTCTGTCAAAAGATGATCTGCAGAAGGATCCTGGTTGGCCGAGGCTGGGCTGCCAGAGGTTCAGAAGAGACCTTGGCAGCCGTGTTGTCCCTGCCCAAGCCTTGGCAACAGAAGATTGCACTCCTAGTTTTTAGTGAAGCTGAAATAATAGGGGCAGAATTAGGGTTGCCATGTGCCTGGATTTTCCTGGACATATCTGGAATACTGCGATTTTGACTAAAAAGCTCCACAACATTGCCCCCCAAAAATTCAAAATTCTGTGATTACTAAGACCCAGCAAGGTTTATCAAAAACAAGTCATGCCAGACCAATCTCAATTCTTTATATATATATATATAAAAGAGTTACAAGGTTGGTGGATCAGGGGAATGCTGTGGACATAGTGTATCTTGATTTCAGTAAGGCTTCTGCAAGAATATCATGGAGGACTTTGATATTCTTGCAAAGACACTGGTAAAATAAGGGCTGGGCAAGGTAACTGCTTTTTGAAATATATTTTTTATAGTTTTCAATTACAGTGCAATAATAGTCTCATTATAACAATACCAATTTATAATACAATTATTAATGCCAAGTGGTTGGGGAAGCACAGCCAGATGGGTGGGGTATGACTAACTAACTAACTAACTAATTATTATTATTATTATTCAAATACCAAATTGCATAACATAGATAAAGTGCCTCCCCATGTGCTAGATTTGATGGTTTTGATGGTTTCCTTTGTTTCTGCATTCCAAAATCTTATTAATTTCAATTACATTCTGGTCATAAAAACAATCCCTTATACAACAACTGCAATGTTGTTCTTCCTGTGTGTGGCAATTATTCTGTGCATGGTGTTTCTTCCTGTCCTTGCAGATGACTTCTTTGCTCCTTGGCAGTTCACAGACTCCTTTCACCCTTCCTTCCAGCGGAAGATATATGAGCAATAACACTTCCAATTAAATTAAATTAAATTCCAAGTTCTCTTAGGGTTATTAGCTAAGGCAACTGCTAGGTGGATTTGGGGCTGGTCGACTGACCGAACCCAAAGATTGCTCATGACTGGTTCCTCCTCATCGTGGGGGAAAGTGACCAGTGGGGTGCCATAGGTTTCTGTCCTGGGCCGGCTGTTGTCCAGTGTCTTCATAAATGACTTGGATGAAGGAATTGAGGGGATGCTCACCCAATTTGCAGGTGACATCAAACTGGGAGGGTAACAATGCCGATGAAGACAGAATCGGACGACCTTCACAGAATCCTGTTTGGGGGAACAGCCCCCTTGCTGTCGAGCCCTCCATCCCTGTGTCTCTGCTGGAGGACCAGCCTTTTCAGGGATGAAATTTGGGAGAGGCTCTTCTGCTCATCCTTAGAAGGCCCTGGGAGGATCTTAGACTCTTGGGACCACGTGCCCTTGGCAGACTCCCCTTCTTCAAACGGTCCCATTTCACGGCAAATGGGCCCTTTCACTTTCACATTCACAGGACCTGCGGCTCTTTCTGCTGAGGGGGGCCCTGGCCTCCTGCCCCACAGCCTTGCCCTGGCAGCTCCCCTGGGCCCCCTCCCCACATGATACTTGGCTGAAGGTTCTCCTTTGCTTCTGCCTTGAGATCCAGGAGAATGTTTGCTCTTTTGCTGAAAGAGGATCTGCAAAAAAGATCCCATTTCCCCTTCTAAAGAAACCGTGACAACTGCAAGGTATAATATTGCACAGCAGGCTGGGCCTTGTCTGCCAGTCCCTGTGATGTCCCTGCACCAGCCTTGGCCCCGGAAGGGACGCCTCTCCCAAACCCCTCTCTGGGGGGTCAGGTCCCTCCTGGAGCCTCTTGCCAGGGGGAGGAAGAGCTGGACGACTCTTTCGACTGGCATTCATTTCTGGAAGGAGGCATTTCTGCAAGGCACACACAGAACAGGGGCGGAATGGGGAGAGGAGGGGAAACAGCAGATCAAGACCCCTGAAAGCAGTGACTCCTTCCCTGGGGATGTTGGGACCTGTTCTGTGCCCCTGGTCTTCCACTGGTGGGTCGCAGCCTGATCCCATGTGGGCTGAAACAGGAGCCCTGAAACCTCGCAGATATAAAGATGGAGAACTGCATGTTTGGGTTGAAAGGGGGTCTTGGGTCTGGAGAGGTTGAAGAGACCTGTCTCTGCCCCACAGCCGACTCACGAAGGAGGTCTAGCCAGCCTGACTGGGCCACATCCTGGCCTTGACTGACCTGAAACACCCCCCACCCTCTCCTGTGGGTCGTGCCCCACAGCCTTGAGGACTTGGAGGGGTCTCTGCCCGTTCTCCCCTCTTCCTCCTCCCTCCTGCCTTAGGAAGAGATGACCCACTTTGCTCTCCTGACGCAAGAGGGAGGGGGCTGCTCTCCAAGGAAATCTCCCCCCACCTTGAGCCAAGGAGCCCCGATTCCTCTAGCAGAGGGTGCTATGGGGCTTGCCCAGCCCCACTCCATTCAGCTCAGCCATTCCCAAGGGGGTCCTTCCCTAAAACTGCAATTCCTCTTAAGCCATTGCTGCTGGGCTGAAGGGGGGGGGGCTGGAAGGTTCTTCTCTGTGAGGAGGTTTTGCTGCACTCCCTGTTGACCTCCGTCTCCTGGATGGTGGCCAGCTTCCCTCTTTCATTTCCCTGAATGCTGAGCTGTGCTCCAGGCCCCCATGTGGGGGGAAGCGAAACTCCCCCCAGCGCCTTTCTGCAGCGTCTCCTCTGCTGCCAGAAACAAGGGGGCAGAAGGAGGGAGAGGTGGGGAAGGGAGAGATGTGCTATGGGCCCAGAAGTCCTGCTTCTGTCTCCAGGGAGCAGGCTGCCTGGATCCTGCCCCTCCTGTCCAGGGACCCCCTTGGCCCCCTCCTCTTGGTCTGTTTCTTCCTCCAAGAGGCCTCCTTCCCAGCCTCAGGCAGGAGCTGCATGGACACCCAAATTACACTGGCACTGCCTGCAAGGAGAAATCTAGCACATCCGGGAAAAAGGCTGCAGGCCAAGCCGTTGCCCCAGTTTCCTCTTTCCTCTTTGAAGCAAAATGCAAAATGCAGAGGCTGTCACAAGCTCACAGCTTGCAAACACTGGTGTTGGAACATGAAGAGTCTACCATTTGCAGTTTTACCTTTAAGCCCCAAAATAGAAATTAGAGTATTTTACATGGGATGTTTACTGACTGTGGGGATAAGACAGCCTCTTAACTCGCCCCCCCCCCGGTAATTCTTTGAGACGGATCTTAAAGCCAGAGCTGCTCCAATAATGACTTGTTTAAAAAGTTCCTGTTTCGAGGGAACCCAAATGTCACAATCTCCACTTCTGCCTTGAAGCACAAAACAGGGTTGGGGGAGGGGTAAAGGAGAGTTGCTATTGCTGCTGCTGGGGGGGGGGGCGTCTAAAGTGTTGTCCTTTTGGGGACTTTCCTGGAGGGGAGGCTTGATGGGAGCCAATCACAGGTCCCGACGCTGCCTGGTCATCAGTTGCTGGGCAGGAAACAGGTTGCTCTTGCCAAACCCCTTAGAGTACATCACTTGCTGGTCTCTGACTGTGTCCTGGGCTGCTGAAGGGGAGAAGGAGCAAGAGGGAGGAAGGAGGAGGAAGGCAGCCTGCAAAGATCAGGCCACCCACACCCCACTTTCTCCCTCACCCTTTCCCTCTGAATCAGCCCTTCTCCAACTTCTGACTTTTGGGGATCAGCCCTCCTGCTGTGGAGGCCCCTGTTCACTTGCACCAGACCAGACTTTCCCCAGATTTGAGAAATGTTGCCATACTGAAGGATCACTGCTCAGGGGCCCCTTCTTGCCCACTTGGGGTCTCTTGGCAATGCTAGACTCCGACTCTTACCCCCCTTACTGGTAGCATGTGTTACTTCAGCTGCTTCCAGATGTGGAGAGTCAGCCCTGCAGCCTTGAGGGGCCTCCTGCTCCTTCTGCCGACTGGGGCCTTGGCCTTCTGCCCCCAAGTCTTGCCCTGGGGCACTCCTGCCCTGCCCCTCTGCCAAACTCTGCCTTCTGTCTTGCTGTATTAATTGGCTCCCCCCCCCCCCGCAATTTGGATCCCCCTCATTTGAGATCCAGAAGAAGGTATGAGATTGCACAGCAAGCTGGGCCTTGTCTGTCGGCCTCTGTGATGTTCCTGCTCAAGGCTTGGCACCAGGAAGGACGCCTCTCCCAAACCCCACTCGGTGGTGTCATTTACCTTCTGGAGACTCTTGCGGGGGGGGGGGGTGAGAGAAAGAGCTGGACAACTCCTTCAACTCACATTAGTTTATTTTAATGAGGCACAAAAATAAGGGCAAGATAGGGAGAGGAAGGAAAACACCAGATCAAGATACCAGAAAAGAATGAATCCTTCCTTGAGGAGGTTAAGGCATGATCCAGGCAACACAGCCAACTCATGATGGAGGTTTGGCCAGGCTGACTGGGTCAAATCCTGACCTTGCATGTCCTGAAACACACCCCTCTCTAGTGTGTTGTTGCCCCTGGAAGAAGACCTTCATTCATCCACCCTGAATTTGGAGAGGGGTCCAGTCTCAGGAAGAGCAGGTGCTTTGATCTGGTGAGGCATTTCAGGACAGGGGGATGGGCTGTTCTGTTTCTCTCCTCTGTTCCCCCAGAGGGGGAATCCATGGGTCCTGTGGGATAACGCTTTGGGGCATCACACAACCCACAGCAGGCCTTGAAGATCAGAAGAGTCCTGTTGTGTCATCAGGCTGAGTAGGGTCCCCCTGCCCCAGCATCCTGTTCCCAGCAGGGGACAGACAGGCAGACCAGGGCAGAGGCAGGGAGGCACCAGCGCTGGCTCTCCTGATCTCTTATCATCTCCCAGAATCTGGGCCTAGAGACACGAGGAGTCAGTGTAGCCACTCTGGTTGCAATGCTGACCATTTCCTCAACAGTTCACCTTTTTGCTTTGAAATAATAAATATATCCAGAGCTTATAGGCAGAGAAAACAGCACTAGAAACAAATCAACAAACTGTAATATTTATTCATTGCTTCTGGAAATATGGGAGCATGTATGAAAAACAGCAGTTGGGCTGCACAGAAGCCACTGGGAAAGTTTTGCGGATGAAGAAGGGATCTTTTCTTCTACACAGACAGATACAACCCTGCTTTATGTGGACGAGAAAGGTGTTTGGGGTCTCTTAGCAGCTAAACTTCCCCCAAAAGCTGGATGAATCCTCTTTGGGATTAACGAAACACCTGAGGGGTGTATTCCTGCAGTGCAATGCACGGAAGTGAATAAGGCTCTCTCCAAAAACTGGAGAGGGAGGTGAATGGTTTTTGTTAAGTGGGGTGGAGATATGAATTAGTATGCCTGACGCTCTGTTGGCAGGGGGTCTCCTTGAGCCATGAAGATGCAAGGCGAGGCAAAGCAGGAAACCCCCACAGAAAACTATCCTGACTCAACCACGGAGTTTGGGGGAGGATCTGCAGCCAAACCACAAGCCCCTCTGTCAAAGATGATTTAGCTGAGATTCCTGCACTGCAGGGGGCTGGACTAGATGACCCTTAGGATCCCTACCAACTCTACAATTCTATGATTCTTTGAAATGCACAAATTCTTTGCCAGAAGCAAAAGCACCAGGGAGTTTCAGAACCTGCATGGAGGGAGCAGTAAATGTTGAACCATGGCAAGACATTTAATGTGAGCAAAATGTATACTTTTCCTATTTACTTAAACCGTCTGAGAGAAATTTCTTTGTTAAGAGGGAAACAGAAAAGGGAGAAAAGTAATGTAAGTCTGCCTAAGCATCTTTGTTCTTAAAAGTCAAACATATTATCAGAAAAGCTTCTAAGGATAAGCTGCACACGGAGGAAGCAACTCCTTCCAGCTGATTTGTAGCAGAAGAGACTCTTGGCAAAGGAGCTGAGCTGAGAGGGTTCAAGGAAGAGGCTGTCAGGAAAGGAATCCTCCATTATCTGAAAAGGAAGGAGAAGGGAGCTGGTGAGCTGGGAGTATGGAGGCTGAGCACCTTCTGGGCAGGATGAGGCCCAGCCCACCCCTTTGCTGTGTATTTTGGGTTCCCTTGCATTTGTCTCTGAGCCCCTGAAGGGAAACGGGTTCGACTCACATGAAGCCCCTGCGATCGTTCATCCTCATGGCCTTGAAGAAAAGGATGGTGCCAGCGATGATGCCCAGGATGCCAAAGGCCAAGCCCAGGGCACACAGCACGTTCTCCATCGTCTCCGGGATGGGAGAGGGCGCCTTGGAAACTGGGATGGAGAGAGAGAGGACAGGGCTAAGGGTTTCTCTGTGTGTGTTCAGCGGAAGAAAGAACCCAGGAGTCCTGACACACCACCCCCTCCCCATATACATGATAGGAACTAACTCAAGGAACCCCCAAAAGGCAGTTGAGCAACTTATTGTCTCCTACAGGTAGAAGCAGGAGAATAAATTATGCAAAATTGCAAGTGTACTTCACTTGCATAAATTACTCTGATCATCAGAACGTGTTTCTCATACGCCATGAATCTGGGTTTCTGAGTTCAAGTCCCAGAGAAAAGCCCCAATCCTGCCCGGTGCTTACCCCAGATCTTCTCCATCTTTCCCTCTGGGATGCCCCAGTGCTCCACCTGGCAGACGTAGATGTCTCCCTGCGCAGGGACGAAGGGGAAGTAGGAGAACTTGCGGAAAGTGTTGTCCACGCTGGGGTAGAAGTCTGTCTCCTCCACGCCCTCGGAGACCACCTCGTTGTTCTTCAGCCAGGTGACATTCAGCACTGGGGGGGAGAACCTGTCCACAAAGCAGATGAGGACGTTGGGGTCCCCCCAGTTCCACGGCGTTTTCTGGGTACACAGTGGCCGAAGGAGCAACTGAGGAAGGAGATGGAGAAAGAAATGGGATTAAAACCCATTTGAAGCAGTCTAGAAATGGAAAGCATAGCAATTAGCTGCTGTGGGTATTTTTGCACCGGGTGTTCAGGTCTGGGAATGCCTCTGAGCTTGTACAAAGTGCAATGCTGCCCCTCCCATCAGGCTTCCCTTCCCTTTTAGCCTGTCTCAGTCAGCCAAGGACTGGCTCCCTGGAGCAGAGTTCCCTCTGGGGAGGCAGAAAGGGGTCCTGAAGGGTCTTCCGTGTCAGGAGCCAAGAGACCACCCCCTGCCTGCCCCCCAGCTCTCTCCCCTGCCCCCCTCGCGTGTCCTACCGTTCAGGGCACGGGTGCGGTTGCTTCTCTTCATGAGCACCTCCATGTTGTTCTTCATGACGGCGATGTTGGCCAGGGCGCCCTGCACCTCAAAGCTGGTGAAGCGCTGGAAGTCCGGCAGCCTCCAGACGTTCTGCTTCTTCTCCCAGTCCACGTGCAGGATCTCCTCGTTGTCAAACTCCAGCAGGAACTCCCGGACTTCTTCTCCGAAGGGAAGCTCTCCTGGAAGAAGTCCGGCTCCACCAGGGTGTCCTCCACTGCAGGGGTGGGAGAGAGAGAGAGGGAGGCTTTAGGACCCCGCAGCAGGATGAGGGAGAACCTGCCCCGTTGCTAGGAATGGGGCCACCACCAGGAAGGCTCTCTAAGTAGACGGGGGGGGCTTCATCTGCTCCCAACACACACAAATATGTAAGTTTTAAACTCCCCTCATTTCCAAAAGGTGGTCCTGGGTGCACTTGAATGTGGGTGAGTGGTAGAAAGTTGGAATCATCATTCAAGAGAACAATCCATGTCTCCATGTGCCTAGATCTCCACTTTCCTCCTTGCCCCAAAGTGAAACCAGTAACAAATGCATTTCCTCTTTCAACCGTGGATCATCCACAGTCACCCCTTGTTGCCTCATGCCCCGAATTAGCGCTTTGGGCTTATTTCTAAAAGAGATAAATCTGTTGGACACGCAGACGGAGCCATTGGCCACCTGCCTCTTTCCTTTCCTGAAGCGACTTCCTTCTGGAGTTCACTCACTCACTCACTCAAACTAAACTGCGTCTTCTCGGGAGTGAAGTCCCTTTGCGTCCGGCTGGGGTCCCTGCCAGGCAAGTGGCGATATGGCCCCTTTTGTGCCAGGAGAGAGACCACTCTGTCTTCAGGGGCAATGGGGTGGGGGGCTGATGCCTTTTGGGGGCCACCACTGGGGACTTCCGGACCAGGCAGGTCTCTGTGGCAGCCGAGCCCACAGAGAGGAAGAATAATTCTGGTTTTATTTCCCTTTCTCTCCTTGTAACAGGAAAGGCTAGGGGCACAGACTCCGATCTTCTAAGTTGGTGTGTGTAGGGGAAAATGCTGTTTTCACCCCGTTTTCCACTCTCATTTCTTTTTTAGACCACCTTATTTGAGGGAGCAAATCCTCCTAGCCCGTCATCCTCCCATTCCACGCACTTTCCAGCACTCTTTCGTGGGGGGGGGGTGTCCGATTTCTTTCCTCCCCCCATCCCTCCGGATTCCCGGGTGCAGCTTCTGCCCCTGTCGTGGGGAGGGGGCTTCTCCTCCCTTAGCCCAAGAGACCCCTCCTCCTTTGCCCACCAGCAACGCCCAGGGGCGCAATCCTTCTCCCCATATCCCCCCTAGCCCCCTCCCGGGACCCCTCCCCAGGCATCTCCCCCTCCCTCTGCGCCCCCTGACCTTTCAGGGCTCCGGCCCCCCTTGGCGGGGCGAGGAGGAGGGTCGCCCAGAGGCAGCAAAGGGCTCTTCCTCCTCCTCCTCCTCCTCCTCTTCCTCCTCTGGGCTCCATCTCTGCCGCTCTTCCTGGGCCGAGGCGGGCGAGGGGCGATTCAAGCCCAAGTGTCCCTTGCCCCTTCCTCCTGGATGCTCGCCCTCCAAGTGGCTGTGGGGCGGGGGCGGCCAGGGGGCGGCTTTGGCGGAGCAGAAAAGTCCCTGCCAGCTCGGCCAATGGAAAAGCGCCCTGGCGATGACCAGCCTGTCTCCAGGTAAACCTTCCCCAGGCAGGAGCCTCAGCCGGAGACGGAGAGAAAAAAGCAGGAAAGGGGGAGCTGATATTTTTGGGGTGGGGGGGGCTGGATGTCCCCAAGAGGGGAGGGGTCTCCTCCAGGGAAGGGGCTGCGGGGGCTCCTCTCTGTCTCCCCCCTGGGTGTTTCTTCATGGGGCTCCTCAGACACCAGCGCCAGGGATGTTTCTTGCACAAGGGAGCAGGGGGCTGGAGGGGGCTTTTATTGGGGGGAGGGGTCTCCTTATTGGGGGGCTGCCAGGTCTCCCCGGGATGCAGGCTGGGGGGCCAAGAGGGGGAGCCCCTCCCTCAGCAGACAGTTCTTCCCCCCTTAAAACTTCCTTCCTCTTTCCGGATACATGAAGGAACGAAGTTTAGCGGCTTAAAACGCAGCAGAAGAAAAGCGCATCTCGCTCTTTTGAAGCCTGAGGCTGAAAATTCCCTTTTTGCTGCCAGAGGAAAGTTTTCGATGGAACTGACAGATTCTTGTGAAGCTTTCTATTCCCCCTCAGGTTTTCCGGGGGGCTTCCGGGAAGATCTTGATTCACCCGCGACAACAATGGAGACATCAGAAGCAGCTGAGAAGGCAAAGAGGAACTTGCAGGTCGAGCGAGAGCAGAGAGAGCCCTTGCTAATGCTCTTGCCAGGAGTTCCCTGCCTGGCGACCGATGACGCTGCCTCAACTCGGAGGCGGATTGGACGCTCGCGGGGCGGAGAGGCGGAGTGGGCGGGGCCTGCAGGAGTTTCCCCCGGGGCTGAGCGGAGAAAGTCCCATTTGGGAGTCTTCGGGGGGCGAAGAAGAGAGAAGGATGGGGGGCTCCGGCGCTGCGCCTTTGGCCTTTGGGGGGCTCCTGCTGGGGATGGGGGCGCTGGTGGTCTCTTCTTCGGAGGGGCTGGGCGTGGAGGCGCCTCCAGGTGAGCCAAGAGTCTGCCAGGGGGGGGGACGGAAGAGGAAACTCCGCTTAGCGGGACCCCCATCGGTGGGGCTCCTTTGAGGATCCCTCCTAGATGGTCTTCCATGATCTTAGCAGGGAGTCCGTAAGTGACTGTGGAGGCCAATTCTGGATCCCCACGTCCTTCCACAGGGGGGACATGGGGTTGGGGGGGGGAATTGATCCCTTGAGGGTTTGCCAAGCGTGCCTTCCTCTTAGCACGGTTCTCCCTTGCGTCCTGAGTTCGAGTGTCTTCAAAGCCCATGACGCCTTTGGTCAAGGCTGTTCTCCAATTGAAGCACCAGCAGACAGTGTTTCCCAGTTTTCGGTGTTTATAGTACATTTTGTTAGATGTGCCTTGAGAGAATCTTTTAACCTCTTTTGTTGACTTCCAGCATTCCATACTTTGCATTTTTAAGTTAGGACTAGAGTAGTTGCTTTGAAAGAAGAACAAGGGTCTGCATAAAAGGCGGATCTACACGGATCCTCATGGATCCTCCACTTTTTAAAAAATAATTCCAACAAATGCAGTGTCAAATCACACCTAGAAGGCACGCCTACAAACTGGACTATAAAAAACGTGGATCCAACACTTTACCGCGCTGCAGCACCACAAAAACATGGATCCGAGGCACGGATCCTCATGAATTCATATGATTTTTATATTGAAACAAAATAAAAACACCATGATACTGTAGACCACATCTTAGTCGGTAGGAGGAACCAAAAAAATCACGCATCCACTGTTTCGTGGTGCCGCAATGGCGCAAAAACATGGTTAAAAACACGGATCCTCATGAATCCTCATGATTTTTGCACTAGATCAGCCCAAACTCACTTTCAAATTACACATCATGTCCAGGGGCACAGCATCCACCACAGAAATCACGGATCCATGGCTTCCTGGCCATACCATGGCCCAAAAACGTGGTTTTCAAGAACGGATCCTCATGGATCCTCACACTTTTTGCATTGGGCCAACCCAAACTCATCGTCAAATCACACATCATGTCCAGGGGCACAGCCTACACCACAAAAAACTTGGATCCACGCCTGCCTGGCCACGCCCTGGCCCAAAAACGTGGTTCCGAAGCACGGATCCTCATGAATCCTCATGATTTTTGCACTAGATCAGCCCAAAGTCACCATCAGATCAAACATCATGGCCAGCAGCACAGCATGCAACACAAAAATCACGGATCCACGGCTTCCTGACCATACCGTGGCCCAAAAACGTGGTTTTGAAGCACGGATCCTCGTGGATCCTCACACTTTTTGCATTGGGCCAGCCCAAACTCACCGTCAGATCACACATCATAGCCAGGGGCACAGCCTGCACCACAAAAAACTCGGATCCACGGCTTCCTGGCAACACCGTGGACCAAAACCTGGTTTTGAAGCACGGATCCTCATGGATCCTCACACTTTTTGCACTAGATCAGCCCAAACTCACTGTCAAATCACACATCAATGTCCAGGGGCACAGCCTGCACAACAAAACCTCGGATCCACGGCTTCCTGGCAACACCGTGGACCAAAAACCTGGTTTTGAAGCACGGATCCTCATGGATCCTCACACTTTTTGCACTAGATCAGCCCGAACTCACCGTCAAATCCCACATCATGGCCAGGGGCACAGCCTGCACCACAAAAATCACGGATCCATGGCTTCCTGGCCACTCCGTGGCCCAAAAACCTGGTTTTGAATCACGGATCCTCATGGATCCTCACGCTTTTCGCATTGGGCCAACCCAAACTCACCGTCAGATCACATGTCATAGCCAGGGGCACAGCCTGCACCACAAAAATCATGAGTTGCACTACAAAAATCACAAAAATGCCCTTACCTGCACTGTTAATGTCACCACTGCAATATTATTATTAGAGCCGATAGGAGAATATATGACTACCGTATTTTTTGCTCTATAGGACACATTTTTTACCCTTCAAAAATTAAGGGAAATGTGTGTGCGTCCTATGGAGCGAATGCAGGCTCCTTGGCTTCAGCGATAGCAACACGAAGCCTCCGAAGCGCAGAGGGAGCGCTCCCTCCGCGCTCCAGAGGCTACGCGTTGTCTTCGCTGAAGCCTGGAGAGCGAGAGGGGTCGGTGGTTGCTGAACAACTCCAGGCATGCCTGGAGGATGCAGACAATTTGGATCCCTTCCAATTGGGATTCAGGTCTCATCATGGGACTGAAACTGCCTTGGTCGCGCTGGTTGATGATCTCCGGTGGGCTAGGGACAAAGGTGAGAGCTGTTTCCTAGTTCTGCTGGATCTCTCAGCGGCTTTTGATACAATCGATCATAACATCCTTCTGGACCGTCTAGAGGAGCTGGGAGCTGAGGGTACTGTCATACAGTGGTTTCTCTCCTTCCTCCTGGACTGTGTCCAGAAAGTGGTGGTGGGGGATGAGTGTTCAGACTTACTTGTGGGGTGCCTCGGGGTTCCGTCCTCCCCTCCATGCTTTTTAATATCTACATGAAGCTGCTGGGAGAGATCATCAGGGGGTTTGGGCGTGGTGTCCATCAATATGCGGATGATACCCAGCTCTACCTCTCTTTCAACTCAGAACCAGTGAAGGCGGTGAAGGTCCTGTGTGAGTGCTTGGAGGCGGTTGGAGGATGGATGGCAGCTAATGGATTGAAGTTGAATCCTGACAATATGGAAGTTCTGTTCTTTGGGACGGGGTGGGCTGGTGTGAAGGACTCCCTGGTCCTGAATGGGGTAACTGTGCCCCTGAAGGACCAGGTGCGCAGCCTGGGAGTCAGCTAGTCTGGTGACTGGGAGTGGCCACCAAGACCATATAACACATGTCCTGAAAGACTTACATTGGCTCCCAGTACATTTCCGAGCACAATTCGAAGTTTTGGTGCTGAACTTTAAAGCCCTAAATGGCCTTGGCCCAGTAGACCTGAAGGAGCATCTCCACGCCCATCATTCTGCCCAGACACTGATGTTCAGCACCAAGGGCCTTCTGGTGGTTCCCTCACTGCGAGAAGCAAAGCGACAAGGAACCAGGCAGAGGGCCTTCTTGGTAGTGGCGCCCGCCCTGTGGAATGTCCTCCCATTAGATGTCACAAGAGATAAACAACTACCTGACATTTAGAAGACATCTGACCGCAGCCCTGTTTAGGGACGTTTTTAATGTGTGACTTTTTAATGTAGTTTTATTTCATTTTTGGAAGCCACCCAGAGTGGCTGGGAAACCCAGCCAGATGGGCAGGGTACAAATATAGTAGTAGTAGTAGTAGTAGTAGTAGTAGTAGTAGTACTTTGTAGGATTTGATAATCTTTATAGGTCTTTTAAATTTCTAATCTATCTATCTATCTATCTATCTATCCCCTCCCCCTTTTCCCTTTCTGTACTTCCCTATCCTTATAAAATTGAATATATATATATTTTTAAAATTTACGGCTCCACAGTTTTCTGGGTCGCCCCATATTCATTACCCAACCACCTATGCTGCTCATGGCCAGATCACTTTGGGGCACTGCCATGCTGTAAAAAGATTCTCATGAAGCACAGATCCCCATGGATCCTTAGGTTTTTTATGTTTGGTCACCCTGAAATCACTATCAAATCACACATGATGTATATGACCACAGAATGAACCACAAAAACCACAGAGCACAGCCAAGGAACAAACACTATATTAAATACTTTAATCCTCATGGATCGGCATGATTGTTAAATGGACTCCACCAAATTATATTGTAAGATCACACCAATGTCCGTGGAATGACCGAAATACAAACGCTATCTGAAATGGTTCTGCATTAGCAAGAACATTGTATTAAAATGACATTCATATTCATAGCTTCCACTGTGAAGAACTGCACCTGGAAATTTTTGACGCTGCTAAACCTCAAGAATATCCAAGGCAGAGATTGTGATGATCTTACCTGTGAATGTAAATTATCAAACCAACTAGATGGATTGAACCACTCTGTGATTGATGCAACAACATCCTTCTTAGCTTGTCTGTATGGGATGGATTCAAAATATCCCTACAGTTTTGTGGCTGGTCATTTTTTGCACCAACTGATATACCCAGGCAAGGTAATTCCAGTGACTACGGTCCTTTCACATGTACCATTGCCCATCTGATTGCTTCTGCTGCCCAATTACAGTTCATACAAAAGGATATGGTTGCCATTAGACCCTGGATTGCAAAAGAAATACCGTAATACAGCACTGTGGTAAAACCTATTCTGAAGGACAAGACAAATATTTTCAAGTGGAAATTGATGCTGTTCCTCCCAAGAAGAGACAAATCTTGAACGAGAGTTACATTACTGTGTTTCAATCATGCCCAGAGGGATGGAAGGATACACTAACCTATTGCTCAGATATTTTACCTTCCTTGTTTGAAGGCTGCTGGTCACTATGTTTCTTGAAGGAAGGGTGCAGGAGGCCCAGTGGTGACCTAACTATGGTTTACTGTGAAGGAAACTGCAAGGACTGGTACTACTGCTTTCGCATAGGCATTGATTCAAAAGATCTTCCAGAGGTTTTCGTGTGTCCAGACTGTCAATCCACTGTGGCCAAATAGATTTTGAAACTGCGAACTGTCATATTCCACAGGTTGGTATAATACAGCAAAATCCAAACATATAGTTTTCATCATCATAGCAG